TTATTAGTAAGTAACAGGGAATAAAAAAGGGTTGAGACAAGGTAGATTTTTCATATTTAATATTATTTTTAGGACCATCATTACTATTGTTATAATATCATTAGGCCAACCTGGGTGGCAGTGCCGAAGGCATGACCAAAATCGATGCCAATCATGTGTCCAGTCTTGAGGCTGACCATGAAGTTGGACAGATGCCGGTCCCCGATGCCCAGCAGATACTGGCACAGACACAGCGTGGCGTGAGAGGTCACCAGCGACGTCCGCAGAACGTGGAACGCCTCCGGGCCGGAGCTCAGTTGTTGCAACGCTCGTCTGAAAGTGGCCATCGAGGCGAAGCAGGAGAAGAAGAATAAGGTTTATGAGTTAGTTTGGTTGTTTTTTTTAAAGGCTGAATTTATTCAGACCATATGTAGCCCAAATAAGCGCTCACCCCCCTCCCCCATTAAGGCCATATTATGTAGCCCAAATACGCTTTCTCCTGAGAAGAATCTGGATTCCAGACCTCATTTATATCTAATGTGGCAAAGTGAATCGAACAAAAGTCTCAACAGGTCACATAGAAATCTAGACCTAACGAATCACATAGATCTAGATTATGTAGGCCCTATCAACTTTAACAGAAATTCCCAAGGCCACGGCTCACAATGAAAATACCCGATAAATGAAGTGGCAAGGAAAAATGCGACATCGGCTGAAATCAGAGGTACGGGAAATTAAAAGCTTAAACATTTACATGGTGAAATTCGTACATATGTGAGGCAGCGTGGTGGAATCAGGCTCTCGTCAAAATAATCAAAAAGAAGAAACTTGCATTTTTAAGCAGGTTTGTGAATTTTTATCAGATTTTTGTTTTTTGGCTCAACACTTTTCCTGCCCATTAAAGAACTAATTTCTGTGTGGATTTTTCTTTAAAATGTTGATTAAAGACAAAAAAAACCATAAATTTTCCGTTACCACGCACTCTTAAGCTAAGAAATAACTAATCTTTGGCGACCATTTTCTCACTTATTTTACCTCTGAAAACAGGTGACCCCCACCTCCTTCATTCGCAAATATCTGGACTTGTATTCAAGATAAATGGATATTTTTTTCACCCAAATAAAGACAAGTGATAAGATGATACCAATAACTCTACATGCCCAAAAATTGACGAGAGCCTGATTCCACCACGCTGCCTCACACATGGTAATGAAAAGATTTCTGCAACATTCTAATTTCGCGATATGTGTGTGCTACACTATAATATATGAGGCATCGTGGTGAAATCGGGCGCTCGTCAAAATTTTAAAATCGAAGAAACCAAAATTTTTTTTCCACCCAAGCGTTTTTTTTTTGTGTGCTCCACACCAATTATGTCCATTTAAAAACACTATCTTGTGTGGATTTTACTAGTTAAAAAACAAACAAACAATGTTGATCAAAGGCACAAAAGAGGGAAATTTGCATTTTCCTAGGACTCTCAAGCCTTGAAAGTCACCAAACTTTGGCGACCATTTTCTTCCTAATTTTACCTCTGACACCAGACGATCCCCACCTCCTTCAATCATAAAAAATGTGACTTCTATTCAAGATAGGCATTTTTCATCAACGACAAAACAAACAAAGCAGCTTAAAGATGATAACAATAACCCTAAATTCCCCAAAATTGACAAGCGTGTCATGTCGTGACAGATATATTATATTTTACTAAATCAGAAGCGTTTTTTAAAGAGTTTTACGGCACTTGCAACACAATAAGGTCATATAAGTGTCGAAGATTAGAGGTGTTACAAGGGAGCAACAAACACTAAAAAGAAGGAGAAGACGATAAGGAAGACAGATGTTTGATCGGAAAGAAGGAGCAAACCACACCAGAGCGCCCTCCAACCACCAATGAATGAGAAGCGAAAACCGTACCTGTAGACCATGAGAGCTCCCCTCCCCCTCTCGCCTCCCT